TGTGCTGATAATACTCGGCTAGGTCTTCCATGTGCCCATCCACCTCATCCTCACAATGGGTGTCCTCTCTGTCACCAAGGACAGACTCATTGTTGAGGCTTTTTTCTTATCCTCTCCTTTGCCTTCATCTTCACTCGACATTCCGTACTTTCCCCTTTTCGTTGTTTGTTTGTCTTCTCTTCATCCATCTTCCCTGTGTTTAGCCCCTCCCCCTTTACTCTGCCTCTTTCTCACAGCGCGCAAGTGGGCTGTTAATGCACACGGGGATGCGGGCAGCTCGCACTCAACTTCGTCAACGCGGCGAGCCTTGTACGTGACAGGCACGGTGAAGGGGGAATTAAAGGAATGAGAAAAATGAATGGTTTCAGTGTGCCCCTCTTGTTTGTCTTGTTTTCGTTTTTTTTTTTTTTTTTTCAATAATCTTTATCGATTTGTTTTGCAAGTGCCCTCTTTCAGTTCATTGTTATGTGACCATATATATACCGGCCAGCTCTGTTTGACTATATGTAGGGTTCAGCCTCCTGATGAGTTCGTGGAACTCCGACAAAACAGTTTGTCACAGCCCCTCCCTCGTTTGTTGTCCTCTTCTCCCTCTCTGCCGACATGCTTTACCAGGCAGTTCTGTCTGATGGTATATATATTAAATAATATATATATCATATATATAGATATATATAAAACTCCGACGAAACAGTTTGTCACAGCCCCTCGTTTGTTGTCCTCTTCTCTCTCTCTGCCTACGGTTTACCGTGCAGTTCTGTTTGTGACGATATATATAGATATAAAGAAGAAAGAGAAAAATGAATGGTTTCAGTGTGCCCTTCATGTTTCTCTTGTTTTTTAATTTGTTATTTTTCAGTGCTAAAAACCTGGTAGGACCGGGGGGTCCTCCCCCAACCGGAACAGGACCGGTCCTACCGGCCAGTCGACCGGGCCGGTTCCCCCCCGGTTGGCTGTAGCGCATCTTCTTCTTCTTTTTTTTTTTTGTTTTTTTTGTTTTTTTTGTTTTTTTTGTTTTTCAGCCCATGGTGTTGTTGAGGCCAAGGACTAGACCCACAGTGATTGCTGGCAGCGGCAGCCGGTGGTTGTCCTGACAGCATAGGCCACCTTCCCTACCCTTCCCCACGTTAATGCTCCCAGCGCACCCCCTATCTCTACTATCCTACCTCAGTGTCAGGACCATCGCCCTACCAGTATCGAGGGCAGTCACCAGACAGCAGTGACAAGCACCCCCTAACACTATAACCCCCACCCTTCTTTTCAAAGTTTTTGGGTGGGAAGCACCTTCCCTACCCTGCCACTAACACCCCAGTGTGACCAGCACTCAGGACCATCACCCTACCAGTATCGAGGGCAACTTGGACGAAGCACCCCCTAACACTACAACCCCTACCCCCCTTTTCTAAGTTTTTGGGTGGGAAGTACCGTCCCTACCCTGCCACTAACACCCCCACCCCCCTCTTCAAAGTTCTTGGGCAGAACGTCAACGTTTGCAGAAAGCCAGGTACGCTGTTGTCAATGTCTGCTGAAGCCCGTACTGAAACTCCACCACTAACACCCTCACCATAACCCCCCCAACCCCCGACCCTCAACCCCTGAAATACCCCCCCAACCCCCCAAACGAAACTTCTCTGTTCAAAGTTTTCTTTGTGGATTCGGGGAGATCTCGGTGAGCGCATTCCAACCATGTTTTCAAAAAAAATAAAAATAAAAAAACTGACCCACTTTTGGACCCAACCGGAATTCCGGTTTGGATCCGGGCCGGTCCAACCGGCCGGTTGCCGGCACAGCCATGTTATTTTTGCCTTTTGTCTCGCAAAGTGCGCTCTTTTAGTTCATAACTCCATAGTTATGTGACAATATATATCGTCAAATAGAGCTGCCGGGTAAACCGTAGGCAGAGAGGGAGAGCAGGGCAACAAACGAGGGGCTGTATCAAACATTTTCGTCGGAGTTTTATATATAATATATATGCTAAAATTGGAATCTGCTCGCAGAGCTTCCGATGGGCATTCATGTGTCAAGAGTATCAATGAAGACTCTGACAAGGCTCACCCTTCACTGTCACCCAAGCATCATGAATAGGGTAAAAATAAAAAACCGACAAAAGAAAAACAAGCATAGTGAATATGCTGCAGGCTTAGCTCAGTTGGTACACCCCTGGGGCAAGGTCCCACTAGCAAAGAGGATTGGATTAAGCTCCTGAATCTGGACGTTCTTTAAGCAGAGGTGCAGAAAAGCAATTCAATGATTTCAATCTCGATTTTCTGCACCTTTTTCCCAAACATGTCCAGATGCAGGCATTCAATCCAATCCTCTTTGCTCTCTGCACCTTTTTCCCAAACATGTCCAGATGCAGGCATTCAATCCAATCCTCTTTGCTTTCTGCACCTTTTTCCCAAACATGTCCAGATGCAGGCATTCAAACCAATCCTCTTTGCTAATGGGACCTCGCCCCTGAACTGTTGATAATAATCAGACCTGAGCCCCCAACTCCACTGGAAGCAGATGGAGTAAAAAAAATAATAATTATACTAAACCGGTCAGTTTCATGATGATCTCTCTCTTTTTCTTTCTTTCTTTCTTTTCTTTTACGCTCACAGGACTTTATGATGATATCTCAAGGCAGCGGCCCCCTTTTAAGTTGAAAAAAGAAAAAGGAAAAGAAAAGGAACATGGCAATATGCTGAAGGCAGCTTTTTGGGCAGGGAGAGGCAGCATTTTTTTGAAGGGAGGGAGCTTGGGATGGTAGTGTGGACCCCAGACCTCCTCTCTTCTCCCCTCCCTCCCCCCCCCCCCCCCCCCCCCCCCCCCCCCTCTTTCCGCCAACATTATCTCTTTGAATTCTGTGACCCAGTGCAGCTGGCGGTACTGGGCTGGTCCTTGCTGCCCACTTTTACTTGCTGCTGCGCAGGAGGCGGCGGCCAAGTCAATTTCCAACATTTGGAATGAACCTGACCGCGTTTCTGTTTTCTGATTGTATCGTGATAATCTTGGTGTATTTCTGTTTTTTTCCCTTACAAATTAAAACCACCACTACCTCCGACCCTTCTTTTTTTTTTTGCCGAACCTGAATTTCACTGCGCACCGAGTTTGGCCGAGCCTGGGTCCCATTGTATTCTTTTTTCTGGTACTCACGGCAGTGACGTCTGGAAAAGAACCAAGAAAATAAAATAAAGAAGAACCCAAAAAAAAAAGAAAAGAAACTTCCCTAAGGCCTTGATAGCCATCAGATACATAAGTCTGAAATGCGATCCGTTGGGACTGTGTCCTCAGTGAGGAGGTGCATCCCATGGAAAACAAATGAAGAGAAAAAAAAAAAGAGAACCCTAATGCTGTCATTACGGTCCGACACAGGACGCATGCTACGGTACTGGTGACCCTTGTGGAATCCGTCATACCCCACTGGCAGGGCACGAACAGGACAATAAAGAAAAAGAAAAAAACTTTAAAAAGCAAAAAAAAAAGCATGCATGTTCACGTGTCACACATGCTGGCCAGATACATTCCTCAAGGCGCTGGTGCGACTTCCACCAATGTGAGGGCCTTACCACGACATCGCCGCGGGAATCGAAGCTCTCAGTTCTTTTTTTTTTTTTTTTTTTCCCCTCTCTCAGGGGGGCCTGCGGGGTCCCAATCTTTTCTTTCTTTTGTTTCCTGCCGACCCTACACCGGACCCCCGAACTTTGCGGTTGAGGTCATTTTCCCAAATGGGACTAGAGCTTCGAAAGGTGGTGGTGGTAAAAAGACAAAGAAAGATTAATGCCTGGTGTATTTCAATGTATGGGAAAAAAGAATGGTGAGAGAGAGGATAGTGAAGGAGAGAGGGGGAAGGTAGTGTTTTCTGCTTCCTAAGCCGAGTATAGGGGGGTGAAGAAACATGCTGGGGCCAGCCAGCTTCGCCTGTGTACCTGTTCTATGGCCGGATTTGGTAATACCTCCCCTGCAAATAAGACGCACGGTCATTATAGTATAGGGAGATAGCCCGGGCGCCAGGGACCCGGCGTCATGCCTGGGTCCCGACGTCGTGCCCGGGTCCGACGTCACGCCGGGGTCCCGACGTCACGCCCGGTTTGGTACATAGTACGTAATATAGTTTTCCACCTAGTACAGTACCGATAGTTTTCCACATAGTATAGTACCTATAGTTTTCCGCACAGTATAGGACATAGTACATATAGTATTCCACACAGAGTACATCGTACATAGTTTCAGAGCTTTCAATGTACAAGTTAGAGTGTCAACACAGCGCAGGTGCCGCGGTACCACAGAGAACAACCAAACAAGATTCAAAGGATCGTTAGCTGTAGTTTTTCGGAATCTGTTCGATAACTTCGATTTCAGATAATATGGTGATCGTAGGCGCGCACAGTTTTGATGTACAAGGTAACGTGTCCACACACAGTACATTGTGTGCATAGTATAGTACACGGCACATAGATCAAGTGCGAGTGAACTTCTAGACAAATGCAGTACACAGTACACAGTATAAAGTACATAGTATGGAGTACGAGCTCACCCCACAGTACCTATTGTGCACTAAGTATACTAAGAACAGAGTACGTAGTCCATTTTCTCCTTTGACCCCCCCCCACCCCCCCTGTCCCCCTTTGTCTCTCCTCCCTCTCTTTTGAGGGTATATATGTGCCACAGGAACTTGTGTCGATCTGTATTGTTGTTATGCAGCAAAGACTGACTTGCATTGAGGTATATAAACTGTGTGATGGTGCACCATATAAACCACTGATTAGTAATCCAGTATAATTGAAGTATTCTCCTCTCTCTCTCTCTCTCTCTCTCTCTCTCTCTCTCTCTCTCTCTCTCTCTCTCTTTTTTTTTTTTCTCTCTTTTTAGGGTATGTACTATGTAGTGGCAACCTGCTTGTGCGATGCTCGTTTGTCTTAGCAGCAAAAAATGACCGTCTTTGACATGGGCTGATTTTGCTCGAATGGGTCATTATGGGGTTATGGGTGTGTGATTTTACTGTTGACTGTGGACAGGTAATCGACAAAACGAAGAATGCGCTGAGCAGACAAGCTGACAAGACGAAGCAGGTGCTGACAAACCAGGCCAAAAAGACCAAAGTGGTGTTAAGCAGACAGGCCGACAAGATTGTGCAGAGCGCCGACAAACATGAAACCTTCATCAACAAGGTTCGTGTCGTGGATCTTTTTTTTTTTTTTTTTTTTTTTTTTTTTTGGAACCGTTTCTCTATTTATGTGTGCCATCATCCTTGAAAGCGCAGGGGCCATGCTAATCTTTCTCTCTCTGTCTCGATCCAATTTTAATGGATGTCTCGAAGGACACTGTGTCGTGACTCGTGATCGAAGGCTTCTGTAGTTCTATGTTTCCTACCCGGCTGGGTCGGTGCCCGAACTTAAAAAGTGCTTTATGTGTTACGCTTTGCAAAACTTGCAAAAATTTTGCCCTAAACCTCAGGTTTGTTCTCTTGTAGTTTTGTGTGAAGTGTTGCATGGGGTTATGGTTATGGTTATGGGTATGGGTATGGTTATGGTTATGGGTATGGTTATGGTTATAAGGTTATGGCCAAATGCTAATGGTTATGGTCGTGACTCGTGAGTAATCAGTCAGTCACGCTAACGAAGAGGTTGCTATGCGCCAAGAGAGAGGCAAGTGACAAAAGATAGGAAAGGGGGGAAGAACAGAATGCTGAAGTGAGCTTTGAGATAACAGAATACTTTTTGTGACGATGCATGTGCATGGTGCGAGAGACCAAGTGCATGCCCTGCACTGCAGTACACTCTGACATAGTCAGGGTTTTGCCCCTCCYCCCCCCCCCCCCAAAAAAAAAAAAAAAGATTTGGTAGGGATATTTTTCAATGACGTCCAACCTTTTGGGTGAAAGCAATTTTGTTAATAACCTTACACGAAAGAGGACATTGCATTGCTGCACCTGTCAGAAGGTCTTGGCATTCTGGTAGCGTCCAGGTACACAGAGGTACAGATCATGCACCTAACCCTCAGTACTGCCCATGTACATTTCCATTGGGGCAGCTCAGCTGTTCGGTCACCTGTTTTCTCCCCCTGGTTTGCTCCACTGCTTGCCTACCCGTGTGCTTAACTTTTGTTGGCTTAACTGCTTGCTCGCTTAACTGTTTTGCCTCCCAGTTTTCTCACCGTCTGCTTGCTCAACTGTCTGCTTGCCTGCGTGCCTACCTGTTTGCTTACCTGCGTGGTTCCTTAACTGCTTGCTTGCTTAGCCGTTTTGTCCCACTGTTTGCTCACCTGCTTAGCTTAACTGCTTGCCTAACTGCTTGCTTAACTACTTCGGCTCACTGTTTGCTGACCTGCTGCTTGCTCAACTGTTTGCTTATCTGTGCGGTCATCTGTGTGCTTCCTTGTTTGCTGAACCACTTTGTTTGCTGCTTAACTGTATTGCCTCTCTGTTTGCTCACCTGTTTGCTCAACTGTTTGCCTGACTGGTGTTTGAGTCATTGCATTTTGCAGGTTACATACTCTGTTGGAGTGCTGGCCTTCGGATTGTTCTTCTTCCTTCTCGGGGCGAGTACGTGTTTCGGCAACTGCAGCCTGTTTTTGTCGTTTCTGCCATTTTCTCTTTTCAGCGAATGTGTATGAATTATCCTACCATTTCATTTTTCATTTCTCTTCTGCATTGCTCTCACTGGAGTTCGCACTCTGGCCTGTATTTTAACAGTTGAGGCCTGTACCAACTTATCTAGGCCTGTTGGTGCGAAAACAACCAACACCCCCCCTCTTACTTTACGTCAAATTTCAAAACTGTACCAAGAATCAATTGGCACCAATAGACTGGAGCATCCAGGAAGACTGCTAGAGGGGGGGGCGTTCGTATCACCCTCCCTAGCAGCCGGGCTGGTAATTCAAAAAAAAAAAAAAAAAAAAACCTTGGTTCAGAAAATGCCGAAAGTGGTTTCCATCCTCCTGAGGCCTCGGGCCTCTAAGCATACGGTCTTTTCACACGAATACAATGCCCGGTGGTCATCATTGCTGTGTCCATAGACTGGATGTTGCACATTATACGGTGGTGGCTATAATGACCACAAGTTGTATCTGGGTAAAAAAGAAGTTAGAGGACGCCTAGACCCTACTACAGCTGCTGGACTATTGAGCGGGCGGACCTGGCTGAGGTTGTGAGTTTGAAACCCAGAGGCTGCTACGGTACAAGAAAGATGGTGGAAACTGAATCCGACTGGCTGGGGATTAAATCATGGCGATCGCTGCATGTCAGGATGACAGAATCACGTCGCGGTTGGGCAGTGCCCAACAGGTAGAGGAGGCCGTAACCTTTCTTCTTCTTCGTTTTTTTTTTTTTTTTTTTTTTTTTTTTTTTTTGTTTCTCTTTTGTTTTTAATTTATAATAATAAAAAGCAAAACATGCCAGCGGTACACGAGCCCTCTCTGAACCGTACAAGATAGTCACCTATGGTACGGCTCTCTATTCTACTTCGTCCTTTTTTCTTTTAATTTCTCTGGCCAAATTAATTATAAAAACAAATCGTCTTCGAGTGAGCGAGATGAGTGAGAGGCCGAAATGTAAATAAAAGAAAACGTATCTTCATTCTTGAAACGTATCTTTTAGCATTTCTAGTCGGAAGTCGAAACTGCCGTTGGGTCCCACACACTCTTATAGTCATCTGATGTGCTGGTCTGTTTTTCCTCGCTCTGTGTTGTATTGTTTTTTATCTCAACAGGGCCCCAAGATATTCCATATATGTATTGCATGTTTTTCATAACTGTGATCCCCTTGCGGTGGGTCTACTACCGCTCAAGAAAGTGGCACTACTTCCTCCTGGTAGGTGTCGAGTTCCCTGGGCTTTGTTCAATGACACAAGGATTGCTTGCTTCCATGCCATGGCCGTCAATGTTAATATGAATCTACGGCCGCGTCGGCCAGCCATATCCGGTTATCCCAAGAGGCTCGACTTTTGCGAGAGCTGACGAAGGCCTCTACCGAGCCTCTTAATCGTGTGTGTCTGTAGCGCGGTGAAATCGTTCTCTCTTTGTCTATCGCTTTGCCTCGAGTAAGAGTGGTATCAGTCCCTTTGTCTCTATCACTGCTTTCTGTCTTTCTCGTTACCTTTTGCAGAAGCGGTACCATTCCCTTTGCCCTTCTTCTTCTTCTTCCTTCTTCTTCTTCTTCTTCTTCTTCTTCTTCTTCCTTCCTCTTCTTCTTCTTCTTCCTTCCTTTCTTCTTCTTCTTCCTTCCTCCTCTTCTTCTTCTTCTTCCTTCCTCCTCTTCTTCTTCCTCCTCTTCTTCCTCCTCCTCCTCTTCCTCTTCTTCTTCCTCCTCCTCCTCCTCCTCCTCCTTCCTCTTCTTCTTCTTCTTCTTCTTCTTCTTCTTCTTCTTGAACACATGCTCCAATCTATTCGCCAGGAGCAGCACGTGCTGAGAACCGGGACCACGCCCTTTTGCCTATTAACTTCAGCTAATGTATATGATATAAAATATTATAAATAAATTTATATAATGCGTGGTCTTCTGTCGTGAACCTTCTTCCTTTATTTTGGCCTGCTATCGACACACCATTTGTTGGCCGTCATGGCAATTGTTGTACTGAGAATGCTCTGCTAGGTCTTCCAGGTGTTCATCCACCTCATCCTTACAATGTATGTTCTGTCCTCTCTGTCGTACAGACAGGACAGATTCATTCTTGAACCTTTTCTTACCCTCTCCTTCGTTGCCTTCGTCTTCATTCCACACTCCGTACTTTCCCTTACTTTCTCTTACTTTCCCTTTGTTATTTTTCTTTGTTCGTCTTCTCTCCATCTCTCCTCCCTGCGTTTACCCCTCCCCCCTGGTGTGCGTGAGTGATAGTCTGCTTTGATTTTTCGTCACAGGTACACCTTGAGGGCAGTGGTTGGTGGTCCCCACCTCCTCAGAGGGGTATCAGTTGTCAGGCAGTCGATGATGCTTAACCCCAACAACCGGGGTTAAGGTGGATTATCACTTACAGTGTAATCATCAGGTTCGGGGATTCTGCAGACTGTTGAGGGTTCAGCCTCCTGATGAGTAGGTAGGTGAAACTCAGATGAAACAGTTTGTCACAGCCCCTCGTTTGTTGTCCCCTTCTCCCTCTTGTCCCTCTCTGCCGACTTTACCTCGAAGCCAAAAACAACAAACGGCATGAATGCCCACCTGTTTACAGTTAGGGCGTACTGACACTAATACTTCGCTAAATGAATCTGACCGCAATTACAGCCAAACCCCAGACGAATCCGGCTGCAATCTCGTCCAGAGCTTCGTAGACAAAGTCCCTAGTGTGAGTACTATGCCCTTAATCGCTCTCAGCGTGCAGATGAACGACCCATAGCCTGCATTCTTATGCCCTTAATTGCTCACCTTTTGCATTTCCTCTTTTCGTTTTTTTTCTTTGTTCTTTTTCTCTAGAACAAAAGGGACAGCCTAGATGTTGGAATCTGCGGACAGAAATCGACAATCGGGACTTTGCCCCTGGCTTCAGCTAGGTACCCGGTGTGATTTCTGAAGGGTTTTTTTTTTTTTTTTTAATCAGATATTGAACGGGTTCACCGACTGGTCGTAGCTCAGTTGCTATACTCTTGAACTGTTGAAAATTGAAATATAGACCTGAGTTCGAACTTCGCAAGAAACGGATGATTAAAATTTTGAAATACCACAGTTCGGAATCACCTAGGGCCTGTCAGTTTCAATGATGATGATATCTCAAGGCTGTCGCCTCTTTAAAAGAGAAAGGAAAGAGGGGGGGGGGGGGTGAAGAAAGGGAAAAAGAAAAAGGATATTAAATGGCTTGAAATGTGAAATTGAAATCGATTGCAAAGACATCGACTTCCCTCTGTGACTCTTTTGACTCTTTTGAGTCTGTGTTGTTCGCTTGACTTTGTAAAATGATGCTTGCAGGACTTCTGTTATTATGCCAACATGATATTTATGGTGATGTTGCTTGGTTATCCGCAATGCGAGAAGCTATTTATGGTATCATTCGCGTTTGCGGAGGTGATGTCAGCAGCTAAAGGCAACCCTCTGCTCCCTCTCCCCACAGCCAGACCTGCTAATCTCCCACTTGCTTACGCTTGTTGCTTAAAGCACACATACATCCAGCTATTGGCCGCGGGCGCCCGCCAGAATTGCCCGCCACAATCTGGTAGGCGACGCAGGCCACCGATTTTTTTTTCAAAAAAGCTGTCTGCGCCTCATACTAGGGACAGCTTTTATATATCCTGCGGCGGACCTACGCTATTCTCTTCTCTCGATATCTATACGGCCTCACACTAGCTACGCAGGAACTCAGATGATTTAATTTAGTGCGAGGCGGTGTAGATATCCCGTATTATTTAATTTATTTTGCATAAATGCGGGATGGACGCTGAACGTTATGGGTTTCCAGCTCCCCAAGCCCCCGCAGGGTTGCGCCAAGTCCCTCCGTGTCAATCCCGCCGCACTCTGTGCGGGGAGCAGTACCCGAGCAGTACCCGGGCTCGTGACCCCTGTTGCAGTATGACAGTTTCACCTAACTGACAACCTGTGAATGCCGCCAATAGGGTGGGCCCAACCACTTATCTCAGCTGGTGATCTTAATGTGTGCCGCCCGAGGCCCGCCCGAAGTCGTATGGATGCGGTGGGGAATCGAACCCACGACCTCCTGAATGCCCCCCACTTAGGTGCTCTACCAACGGAGCTAGGCCGCTGGCTGTATCGCAAACTTCTATTCTCGAATGTACGACTTTCTGGGATGTACAAATTTCTCTTCTGTAGACCTTCAGCCTGGGTAGGCCCCGGCTGATGGTCTTTTCGCGCCTGTTGACGAAATAGATTGGCTCCTTTGCAATGGTCATCTTAATCTGGATGAAGCTGTACCTCCTCTCATTCCCCCACCTATGGGGTTGCTGGGCTGCGCTCGGCAGGAATTTGTTTCTCGGCTCTTTCTGGCGAACTGAGAAAACGCCGCGGGACTTAACATCATTGGTTAGCTATCGAGTTGTAGCTATCGGCGCTTTCCTTTTCCATTCGATTGAACAGAAAGAGCCAAATTGTTTATGGGCTTTTGGTTGTCTACGTGGTGTGTTTTTTCATGGGGCTGAGAGTGCGGAATCATGTCATTGCACGCTTCAGTCTGAATGGTGCCTTTTTGGCACTTTGGCACTTTCCTTGTCTATTCGATTGAATGGTTTTTTTTTTTTTTTTCACCTTTTTGTTATGAAGCTTATAGTGCTCTGTGCAAGCTTGTTCTTGTCTTCCCAAGTGAGGCGGTACTATGCGACGTGCGTTTGCAATGTGACATTTTATGGGTCTGGACTCTGTAGTGTAGACTGTGTCCGCCAGCATCCAAACAGTGTAGCCCTCCAGCTGTATGGTTTTGTGCTCTTTTTTTTTTGTTTTGTTTTCTTTTTCGGCCTTTTTTTTTCCGGTCTTTTTTTTTTTCGACCTTCTTTTTTTGAAAATTTAAATTTGGATCATTTCTCGATTGATGTGTGTCATCCTTGCAGAGAGGGCATGCTAATCGTCTTCGTCTCTCTATCAATCCAATTTTAATGGATGTCATGAAGGACTGAGGTTAACAAAAAAAAAAAAAAAAAAAAAAAACAGAAGCCGAAGGTCAGTTAGTAGTCCAGGTTCCATTATTTAATTTCCTATTATCGTCTATAAACGAAAATGCGGACCCTTTCTCGATTTATGGGTGTCATCCTCGTGCATGGGCCATGCAAGTCTTCTCTCTCTGTATCGTTCCAATTTTAATTTTTTAATAGATGTGTTCCGAAGGACAAGGAGTCAAGGACAGATCGAACTTATTTATCATCACACTAGCAATTTCATAAATGCATCTGGCTGCAATTACGGCCCGACCTGGTTGAATCTGACCATGATCGCGTCCAGAGCTTAGTACAGGGCATAATCACACTAGCAATTTCCTAAATGCATCTGGCTGCAATTACGGTCCGACCTGGATGAATGAATGAATCTGACCATAATCGTGTCCAGAGCTTAGAACAAAAGGTCCCTGTGTGCCTAATGCCCTCAGTCTTCCCAATTCCTCGCTCTGTATTTCTCCTGTCGCCTTGCTCATTCATTGTGCGTGAATTACTGAATTCGATTCGTCTCTTGTGTGACGGGTTTCTTCTCCTTGTTTTTTTTTTTTGCCTTTTCAGGGCCCTCTTGCTTGGGCTATAATTGTCTGGAGATGCAGTCTGGTATTCAGCTCACTGGACAAGATCATCAGTGTTCTGATTCACCTTCTCCCAGGTATTCCTGCCTTTTTTTTTTTTTTTTGGGTGAACAATTTGGACCATTTCTCGATTTATACGTGTGTCATCCTTGACATGCAGGGCATGTCACGAATCCGCGAATGGAACACACAACCAACGGCTTGTCAGGCAAAAGCCGCAAAACACGTAACCAATCCAATAAGCTAATAAGCTAAGTAGGCTGGCGGGGGTGAACGTGAACCCCCAAGATGAGTACTTCACCCGATCCCAGCACGGATTGCTCCGTGCCACGGTGTGCACCCAAACGCATGCATCCCCGCGTTTCACAGCTGCCACACATCTCTAGTACAATTTCTACGGCGATTACTGCGTGAAAAAGCAAATGCATGTCCGATCGGCAAAAGGGGCGATGTTATGACCCTGTCCAATTTCGAGATACACATCCACTGAGAAGTACAATGCCATCCAATTGCAGAAGGAAATGAATGAACTTGAGAGGAGAGAGAGGAGTAGAAGAAGAAGAAGAAATGAGAAAGAAGAAGATGTACACCAGCAAAGATGATGACAAGGCTCTTCTTCTTCGCCCAACAATCTCCTCCTCCTTATCTCCCCCTGCTCTTATTCATACAAGAAATAATAATACAATGTTGAATGACTGGTCCAGAATCATGTCCGAGTCCCTTTTCAACTGCAGGTATTCTCAAGGTCCACCATAGCCATGGCTGCCTCCCACACTCTTCACACACATAGGCCGAGGCTATGGCGGACTACTAGGCCTTGCACCGACGTCCAAAGGACAACCCAGAGCAGCTATGGCTGCTCCCGCTCAGGCCGCCATGCCCAGCCTTGCCTTGAAGCTTCTTGGTGTAGCTCCCCCGGCTGGGGACTCCTTGCAGCAGCGCCCACCAAGGTGATGAAGATGGCTGCCACCATAGCCAGGTAAGTACCCCTGGCGCTCCTCCCGCTTCCTCCTTCCTTCCTCCTTCTTCCTCCCTCTAGTACTTCTTCTTCCTCCCCAGCAGCGCAGCTCCAACCCAGCGCTGCTCCCTCCAGCGCTCCACCAGTGTGTTGCCAAACTTGCACACCGAAAAAGAGGCCGGGTCTTCCGCCCGGCCGGAAGATATAGCGGCCTGCTTTGCCTCTTGGGCGGTGACTTCCAGGGCGCTGGCCTTCCCAAGCAACCGGTACCTCTTCCTCCTTTTGGAGGGAACATCATTGCAGACTCTGATATTGCCCCTACAGGCCCTAGACTCAGACTGGTACCCGCTAGACCTAGCCTACACTACCGGCCTCTAAAAATGCCACTTTTGTCTTCTTCTGCTCGGCCTCCGGTACCTGCATATTTACCCCCCTGCCGGGTGCGGTACCGGCCTACCCGCTACTTGAGTGCTTTTTCCCTGCTGCAACCCTTCGAAGCCACGGCCACAGGTAAGTACCGGCCCTGAGGGCCCAACGAAAATAAGTGCCCTGGCGGGCCACACACACACACATTCATACCAACCAGCACTCAGACAGGCATGGTCACACACGCAATCCAACCAGCACTCAGACAGACATGCAGTCCAGCAAGCACACACACACACAGACTTAGCAGGCGGGGAACTCAGTAGGGCATTCAGTCTATGAGCAAAACTCAGAAATCAGCTGTGTGTTTCAGTCCGTGTTTGGACGGGTTATCACAGTGATGCTAATCTTCTCTGTATCACCAACTGGCCTAGCTCAGTTGGTACACCCCCCCTGGACTGAACTGTCTGAAATACAGACCAGGTGCTGAGTTCGAACTCCAGACGAGTAAACTACTACCACAACTGAATTAACTAGGGCCAGTCAGTTTGATGATGAGATCTCAAGGCTGTCGCCCTTTTTTAAAATAAGAACTTGACAACAAGAAAAATATACTGTGCATCGTTCGAATTTTGACGGATGTCCCAAAGGACCTGCCCTTTTATTTTTTCGGACTATTTCTCGATTTACACGTGTCAGCCTTGCACAGGGCCGCGTGCTAGTCTTCTCTGTTCGTTCCAGTTTTAGCGGATCTCCTGAAGGACGAGAACTAGTTTTTTTTTTTTTTTTTTTTTTTTTTTTGAATCCCTTCTCACCACAGAAAAATGATTCGGAGCAAATCTGAGTAACCCATGCAGTTAGACCTCTTCCGACTACAGGGGCGAGGTCCCACTAGCAAAGAGGATTAGATCGAGCACCTGAATGTAGACGTGTTTGTGTTTCTTCACCTCTCTGTAGAACACGCCCACATTCAGGTGCTTTATGAAATCCTCTTTGGGAGTGGGACCTCGCCGTTTGTGGGGCCATGCAGTTGGGCCCCACAAGATTTCCCTGGGGTTCTACTACGGTCCCCAGCCAGCGCACCAGGGGATTCAGGAGGATGTGTCTCCCCCCGCCCGCCCTTGAGGATGTTATCGTCATCTCTAGGAACTGTATTGCTGGGGTTTTGGGCCCCTCCCCTTGCACCACTCACCAAATGTGCAAAATGAGATTGAATCTTCGGGGGCAAATCTTAGTGTCACGCCGATATTGTTTTGATTCTTTTGACGTCAGAGATGAATCTCAGCATCATGTGGATGTGGTTTGACTCGCTGCTGAGTTGTTGCCTTCAGTAATCCCTACACTAATAAAATTTGCTAGCGTCACAAATCTGAAATCCGGTCCGTCGTTGGCCCACGGCCCAGATCGGTGAAAGAATGTAACAAATCTTTTTTAATCTTGGATGGAAGGGTTTTTTTTTTTTTTTTTTTTTTTTTTTTTTTTTTTTTTTT